TCAACAATTCATAAATTTTGATTCAGATCTGTTTATCAAGAAGAATAATCAAACCAGGGTCACTTTATGACGTAATAGAGTGGTAATCACAGCTCACCGGAAGCTGATATGTTGACATTGTTCCAATTGTAATCGAATTCAGAAATGAAATTCAGTGGTAGACATTCATCGCAGCCACACGTGTACATTCAATTGTGGCTAAGTGATTTGCTCATGGTCTAAAAAGACTTAATTATTGATAGACACTCCCTAAACCATAATGTTAAGAATCACAGACAAAAGCACAGAGGATATGTCTTAAAAAAACAAAGCAATAAGGAAAATTACAGTGAATCCTGGTGAAAACTTAGATGATAATTAAATAATCAGAGAGGAGTCCCATTTCATGATAAATATTAGTTATTTTTAAGCCATGGAAAGCCTTGATAATGCCTTCTTCATCAGTTGATCTCTCTGGTCTTCCAGCCTGTCACAAACCTTTTGTTCTTTTTCCCCGCTCCCCTCTTTCCCTGTCATTGTGCTTGCTTAAAACCGATTACACCTCTAACTTTCCTCATTTCTGATACAAAATGAAAGTCAGTCATGGACATCTATCATAGCCATTTGAAATGTTAACTCTGTTTTTCTCCCAACAGATGGTTTTATTTTATTTTGGATACCAGCTTCTGAAGTATTCGGCTTTTGCATTGCTTCAATTATACTTGAAAATCAAAGGCAACTCTTAGAGAAGTGAGTATTCTTTGATGTAATGGTATTTTATCAAAATAACCTAAAGGACAACATTTAAAGAAAAATTACTTTGTAGTGGAAGAAAATGTAAATCTAGTTTGTCTTTCCAAATTTCTTCCCTCTCCCAAGGGAGCTAGCACATTTTGGGATATGTTCCTCAAGAGTTAGCACATTGTTATCATTGTAACTCTTTTTAAACATAGAATCCCTACAGTGTGGAAACAGGCCATTCAGCCCTACACATCCTCACTGCCCCTCCAAAGACCACCCCACCCAGACCCACTCCTTGTCTAACCCAAATATCCCTGGGCAATTTAGCATGGCCAATTCACCTAACCTGCACATCTTTGGACTGTGGGAGGAAACCAGAGCAAGCTCTGGGGAGAATGTGCAAACTTCACACAGTCACACAAGGGTGGAATTGAACCCAAGTCCCTAGCACTGTGAGGCAGCAGTGATAACCACTGAGCCACTGTGCCACCTCAGATGTAAGCACCAGTAAGCAAGGCTATCATGACGGATGCGAATGTAATCCAAATAATGACATATCCATGAGGAAATTGTGTATGTTTTTTTCAGCAGTACTGCACAATAATCAACTATGTGTCTCTTAGCTAATTTTTCCCACCCTTAGCCTGACTACATTCAGAACAAATATAATTTACTATCGCTGCTATGTTACAGCTTGGCCAACATAGCTTATACGGGGCTCTTTTCAGTTCCAGACAACTCAGTTCTAAACAATGAGTGGTTTTTAGCAAAAGAATTCTGTTAAATCTTCTTCTTAAGGAGTCCTGACAGAGACAACAAACGTAATCATTTTTTCTTAATGAGGTTCCATCATCTCATCAGAGATTTGACAACTAACATGAGATGCTTTTCCCTTTGGTAAGCTTATTTTTAAACTGAATTACCTTCATGTGTGAGAACACAGCAATATATTCAGGGGTGAATTCACAAGACCCACACTCCCAATCAGCAGCCGTGCTCAATGAGAGTGCTGGTTGGAGATTATGGTTACTAGATTGCTGCGCCATTTCTCAGACCTACATTCCCTTCAAATTGGAAGGATTTCCTTTAACCTATATATGTAATGAAACAGTGTTGCAATAAACTATTTTTATCAGGGCAATTATTACTATGTCTCCTCATCACTGCTCAGGCACTGCACTAATGATAACCTCAGAAATGGTCAGGATTGTTTTACCCCTTCTCTCATTACTACCACCCTTTACTTGGTTCATAAACGAGCATGGCTGGGGAGATAAGTAGAGCTGGGAACCGAAACTATTCAACCAGGCTTCACTGTGCAGTGCATCTCATTTTGTAAACACATGATTACAGTATGACATTCATAGGGTCGTTCTCCAGCAATGAGTCATCAATGTTGTGTAGTTATGAACACACATTCACACACAACAGGCTCGACATCATCAGGTACACGTTATTCAGGAAGAATCACATGCAACATAACGACAAGTGGACATTAGCATTTAATTCGGAATCAATAGCATTTTTCAAGGTTTTGAAGCTTGTTTTCAAATAACAAAAGGCAGAATACTCTGATGCCACAGTACTGGAGAATGATCCTGTTAATAGACAGTGAGGGCACATGGAAAGCAATACCTGGGACTCAGTACTCACCAGAGCGCAGCCACTGAGACACAGCAAATACAAGCAGATGAGTGCTGATTGGAACTGAGACCCAGGTTCAGCATATTGCTAGTTCTATCCCGAGAATCAAATCACCAACCGTTGTCACAGTGCCTACTGGACATATCTTGGCAGAAGCTGCAAGCTATGAGACTGGCCTTGCTGCTAGCTAGTCTCACACAGCCCATACCTACCTGGATATGGAAGTGCTTGGTGGAAGCGGTGAAGAATAAGGTTGTCTAAATCCACATGATGTAATTGGATAGACAGGCTGACCTTGCCTGGGATCAGGGGAAAAAAGGATCTATCAGCTTCTAGGCTTTACAGCCTTTACCTATGAGCTTAACAAAGACAGACTGCACTTCATCAATGTATGTACCTATACTGTAAAAAAGTATTACTGCTTTGTTTCCTGATAGATTTGAAGAAACTGGGATGTAAAAACTCGAAATTAGGGAATTTGAGATAACAAAGTGTGGCGCTGGAGGAACACAGCAGGCCAGGCAGCATCAGAGATGCAGGAAAGCTGACATTTCAGGTCGGGACCCTTCTTCAGAAATCAAATTAGGGAATTTGCTTGTTTAGTGAACTGCTCCGCTTTCACCTCTGGACACTGGATTTCAGTTCAGCCTACAGTGTGTGTGATGCAAATCTTCTCTCTGTTTTATTTTTAGCTTCTCTTTATTCCATCCTGTACTGAAGACAGTGCCCGATGACGGTGTGAACCCATTGATGCCACCACTTCTGGTATCCAACAAATAGTGAATGACATCAGATGATTCAATCTTGCAGTATCAGACACAATTATTGTTTTCATCCACCATCTATATGAGCACACTTCAAAACAAGAAGTGACTTATTTGGCAATTTCCTCTCCTTATCACAATGGCATTCAGAAGTCATTCAACTCAGTAGGAATTGAAGATCAAATGCTCAGCTCTCCTGGTTTAGTACCTCAGATAGTTTACTTAAGTGGTCAACAACAGGAAAAAGTGAGAACAATACATCTTGGACTGATTTAAATTATGACACCATAGGATAGATGCAAAATCATAAAAATAGATTGGTAAACAGCCAGTTGGTGGGAAACAGTTAGTAATACCTGAATAATTTTCTAATTAATAGTCATTTAACAGTGGAATGCCTGGGGGTTTTTTTCAGTCACCATTGAATTAAGTATGGAATTAAGTTATTAAATTGGGAGCTCTGGCAAATGATGAGTATCAATATGCACAAATCTGAAGCATTAATAATTTAATGTGTGTGCAATATTTTCAGATATGTATTCTTTTTGGGGAGGGCAGCCTCCAGTTAGGATTTACATTTCCAAAGAGCATTTCTCCATGTTTGGATATAAAATAATATCTGAAGTTTCTCTGATATGTGATGAGTTAATGAAACTAGCTACGCTCAACAGAGGCGGGACCAGATAAGGCCAGTTGTCTTTCTACAGGGTGTGATCTTGCCATCTAACAATATCTTATTGTATAACTTCTTAGCGGCATAAAGCTTTTGAGAAGATTTGTAGCTCGGGTTGTGGATGAGGTTGTAGACACGCTCGCTGAGCCGGTGGGTTTGGTTGCAGACATTTTGTCACTCTGCTGGGTAACATTGTCAGTGCGCCTCTGCTGAAGCGTTGGTGTTCTGTCCCACTTGTTATTTATATGCCTCGGTTTGCTGCTGAGGTTGGCATCACTTCCGGTTATGTTTCTCATTGGTTTGTATATTGGGTCCAGTTCAATGTGTTTGTTGATGGAGTTCCGGTTGGAATGCCAGGTCTCCAGGAATTCCCTGGCATGTCTCTGTTCAGCTCGTGCTGTTATGGATGTGTTGTCCCAGTTGAATTCGTGTCCTTCTTTGTCCGTGTATAGTGAGACCAGTGAGAATTGGTCATGTCTCTTGGTGGCTAGTTGGTGTTTGTGTATCTTCATTGTCAGTTTTCTTCCAATTTGGCCTACGTAATGTTTCTCACATTCTTTTCATGGTACGTTGTATATTATGTTAATTTTATTGGTGTTGGGTATGAGATCCTTTATGTTCGTCAGTAGATGTCGTAGGGTGGTTGTTGGTTTGTGTGCTACCCTGATGCCCATGGGTCTGAGTGGTCTTATGGCCATCTCTGATATGGCTCTGATGTACGGTAGGGTGACTAGTTTGTCTGGCCATGTTGTGTCTTCTTGTTGTGGTCTGTCACGGAGGTATCAGCGGGTTGTGCTTTTTGGGTATCCATTCTTTTTAAAAACTCCATATAAGTGCTCCTGTTCTGCTTTGCACAATTCCATGTTGCTGTAGTGTGTTGTGGCTTGTTTGAATAATGCCCTGATGCAGTTCCATTTATGGTTTATGGATGCATCAGGAGATTGTTCAAAGGGGCCACAACACACTGCAGCAACATGGAATTGTGCAAAGCAGAACAGGAGCACTTATATGGAG